TATAAAAAAAGTCTAAAAATTTGTGAGTAAGGAGCCATTATGATTGAAGGAGGATAAAAAGCTCAATTTAGATACATATTGACTTCATTGCCTTAAAGACCAAATTGCTTCCATGCCAATCAAAAGTTACAAATATACTATTAGAGCCTCTTCATATTTCATTTAAACGGTAAAATAGTAAACTAAACTACATGTATAAAATAAAGTGAGAGAAAGGAGCAAAAATGGGAGATGGAGAGAGATAGGAAGGAGGGAGGACTCAACTCTTTTATTTTTATATTATAATGTGATTTACAATATATGGTAGGTAAATTAATAGAGATTAGAACATTTATTTCAAACTAGTACTTCCCACTCGCTTTGTGGGTCATTGGGATGTATTTTTTGCATTTAAAGAAAAAATTGTAGATAAAAATTTATTATTATAAACAAATAATAAAAGAGTGTTGTTTTGTGAAAAAGATAAAATTACAAAACATGATATGGTTAAGATTAAAAAACACTTTTTTGATCATAAAATACAAAAACAATATTTTGTTTTTAATAAGTTGCATTAAATAAATAATATCATCAAGCAATTAGTCAGTTGTCTTTTTTATTCTAAACAAATTATTTGCTTTCTTCAAGCTTATAACAAAATTAGAAGCAAAAAAGAGAGAAAATTAAATCTTGCAATCTTGCACGACATTAAAAGGAGGCCACATAGAATTCTAAGTCCTATGATTAAAGCCATATTTTTGCTGACAACTGCGTAAAAACTGGTGATATTATGAGAATTCTAACTCCTAGACTACCAAAACCAACAGAAATGTAAATACATCTACATAAAATTCAATTTAAAAAATAATATATTATTACAACTGATTCTAAGCAAGCACTTCCCTAAATTTAAAAGTAAAAATAAAACAAACAAAAAAAGGGGAAAAAATGGCATAATATCAGAGCTCAACATGATGAAATGTTTGGGAGCCATCGATGATGAAGTTAATGGCTGGAGATGGTGAACGGAGGTGTTGTAGAAGGAGAAATTTGATGAAGAGAGAGGATAAAAAGATAATTACAAAATCTACCAACTAAATGCCCTCCATACTAAAAGAAATTACAACCCTTAAAAGCTGTGCCAACCAAAATGCTCTCTAAAATAAGAAAAATTACAACTCTCTCACAAAGAATTGTTACCTTTTTACAAAATCATACCAATCAAAGTGCCCTTTAAACTAAAAGAAATTATAACAATCTTACAAATAAGTGCCATTCTATGAGATTTTAGAAAGAGAGACAAAAATCAAACCTAAACTATAATAAGAAGGGTAGCACTCTCTCTCCTCCCTTCCTATATCTCTCTAAAATCTCTCTTATATGTTCCTATCTCTCTCTAATGGAGACATAGGCATGGCAGGTTCTTGTGAGAGGGAAGAAATTTTGTTGACTTTGAGGGGAAGTTAGAAATGAAAAAGTTTATGGGAAAGGAATGGCGAGCTTATCTATTAAGAGGGTAGTAATTTTTTTAACTTTTGGGGGTAGTTTTCTAGATGGCAGGTATCAATATTTTTTGAGATGAAAAGATTTTTTGCTTTCAGGCGCAATTTTGTAAGTGGATGTGTAATTTTGTAATTTGCTTGATTGCTTTATTTTTTAGGATTTTAAAAAAAAAATCTAAACGGGCAAAGGAGAGGGCATTTTGTTCTTGAGGAGCAGAAATCATGTTTTCTATTTGCAAAACCTGGGCATTTCTAGGCTTTTACACTTTAAGGCATCAAAAAATCTCAAAACAACCAATCATCTAAAGGATAAATAAGATAAGAGGGAGAGAGATCAGAAAACCTAGCCTTACAAGAGAAGCTTCAAAGGGCGAGGAGAAAAGGCGAGGAGGCCAGTTGAAAGAAAAGGAACTGTTGTGTGAAGGAGAAGGACTCAAACAGTGAAAGAATGCAAAAGAGAGAAGGTACGAAAGCGGTGTTCTCTCTTCTACATTTTTCTTCTTTTTTTTTATATTTCTCTTTGTTTGATTTGTTGAGAGGTTTTTTTTTTTTAATGGTTTTTTTGGGTATGTTTTTGGGAAATAAAAAAGAAGATACAATTACTTTTACTTTTTTGTTTTTTCATTTTTGTTACTTGGTTTTTGCATAGGTTCTGAAGGGAATCAAACTGATAATGAGGGGATCGTGATATAGGGGGAGGAAGAAGTATTTTGAGTAAGGGTGTATTTATTGTTTTTTTTTGTTATTAATTTAGGTTTAAGTATCATTTTAGTCCCTCAACTTATCACTTTGGTACTAAAATTGTCCCTCAGCTTTAAAAAGTATCAAAATTATCCTCAGACTTTCATTTTTGGTACCAAAATGGTCCTTCCGTCAATTAAACGCCAGGTGGATCGTTAAAATGCCACAAAATCATCGGCTTTTTTCATTTTTAATGACGTGTAAATCCAACTATGCAAATTTTGTTACCATGGCATATTTTTTTACACGTGGCATATTTTTTTACATATCATATTATCACCTTTTTAACTTTCCCTTTTAATGGGGCCCACATGACTTTTTTTAACTTTTCTTATTCTTTCTCTATCTCCTTTCTTCCCCTCTTCTTCTTCCTCTCCAGATTTGGGTTCTCCGGCTTCTGATCGTCTTCTCCGGCATCCCCTTTTTTTGTGCTCGAAAGCCTTGGGCTTCCGAGTTTTGCTGCTTGAGCCGCCGGGTTCTTCAGCTGCTCAAGCCCGATGGAGCCGGCCTGTTCCCTACTCCGATGACCCCATGAGGTCTCTCGACGACTAGGCCCTTCGGGTGCCTTTTTTGGGTTTTTGTTTTCTGTTTGTTTTCTTTGTTTCCTGTTTCTGTGTGTTGCCCGCTTGCTTGCAGGTCTCGCGGCTCCTTACTCCCTCACGCAAATCTACCGAGCTACACGCTGGAATTCCCAGATTTGGCAGCCGTCGCCCAGATCTGGTCTTCGCCTGTTCATCTTGGTTCTTCCCGAAACCCAGACGGGTTCCGCGAGGAACCCAACCCGGTGTTGGGTGGCGGAACCTAACCCGGTGCTAGGTTTCTTGAGGAACCCAGTTCCTTGAGGAACTTAGTTTTGGGTTTCTGGGTTTCGTAAGGAACCCAGATCTGGGTTTCGTGAAGAACCCAGTTCTGGGTTCTTGGGTTCCTCGAAGAACGTAGGTTCTAGGTTTCGCTCTGTTTTTCTTGCTCTGTTTCTTTGGCTTCTTGCTTTGTTTGGTTGCTCTGTTTCTTTGGTTTCGAATCGAGCCTGAAAAGGGAAATGACAGAGAAACGAAGACGAAGAACACTGCCACTGTTGGGGAACTCAACTAAAACTGGAAAAAGAAAACAATTTGTTTTTCTTTTTAACGTGGGCCCCACAAAAAGTGAATCTGAAAAGTGGGGGAAGCAATCTGACGTGTAAAAATGCCACGGTATCAAAAATGTCCTTGCTGGATTTACACGTCATTAAAAATGAAAAAAGCCGGTGATTTTGTGGCATTTTAACGAGCCACCTGGCGTTTAACTGACGGAAGGACCATTTTGGTACCAAAAATGAAAGTTTGGGGATAATTTTGATACTTTTTAAAGTTGAAGGACAATTTTGGTACCAAAATGATAAGTTGAGGGACTAAAATGGTACTTAAACCATTAATTTATATAAAAGAATAAAAATTGATTTTAATTTTATTAATTATCTAATTAAAATATTTTACGCAACAACATTGATATTAAAAATATTTTTTTCATAATTTTTCATATAAATTTAAAAAATTAATAATTTAAATAACACATTTAATTATATAAAAAATAAAATTAAAAAATTATACAAAAACTATTTCTCAATTTTCAAATGGTTTTGTCTTATTTTGGATTTTCTTACTTCTCTTGCTGACGTAACTACTGGAATA